TGGGAGAAGTACAGAAACAATGAAGGAGGAAGTGCAGCGTTACAACCTGATGCCACACGTCTGTTACTCCATGTTCCAATGTGCTCAAGTTCTCTGAGCGATATGCGAAGTTCACAAGCATCAGTTAACAGGAGGCTTTCAGATCTACGATCTTTGTGGGATTTCTCCCACAGTTGTTCTTTTTGTAAGTGTGTGTTTGTGTTTACGCGGCGTAAAGCACTTAGTCACGTTTGACTGGTCGCTTTTGGAGTCGAATGGAGCAGCAGACTCTTTCAGGAGCGATTACAGCTGAAGGAAAGAGTGATCTCAAGCCTGCTGATAATGACGCTGATAAAGACTAACAGGGACCGCCACGGTTGGCCAGGATGGAGATAAACATCCTAAACATCCACACACAAGACATGCTTTGACATTTCCGCAAACAGAATAATTAGGAAATGTCTTCACAGGTGGGTAACGGTGTAACATTTAGGCTCCGAGCTAATCTTCCAGCTGTATAAAGTCTGGAGAAAGCATCCGGTGTAAAACACATGCTTGTTCATACACACTTTCACACCCATAGTCTTTACACACTTTTTCTCCTTCATTTAACCTTTGGACTCTTGTCAGAAAGAAAATTATTCATAAATCATACTTTAAGTTTCTTATCTCCCCTAACTTTCCCCTTAGGGAGTTTTAAAAGTGCTTGAGGAGTTATTATTGAGTCTCTATTGATATGTTTTTCTTCTACTCTTGCCATTTCTCCTCCAACCTTTCCCTCCCAGTGCTCAGGTCAATGCACAGTCCCATTTATATGATCCCATAGAAAGGGCTGATGGGAAAAAGGTTCCAGGCAGGAGCAAATATTTTATGTCTGCTTTTACAGCATGTTATTCAATGTTAATTCAAATGTCTACAGAAGAAGGAGCAGAATGTGTGATGAGTGATCACTTGTTTCCTCAAGATTACTTTCTGGTAATGTTGATTTTCATATTTTTTTGGAAGTGTTTATGTTCCTAAAACAAAAGTCTCATAAAGTACTTTGAAAATACTCCATTAAATCTGACTCAAAATGGAAATTGATGAATAATGACTTACCATATTTATAGATTCTGAATGAGCACGAGAGCTACTCATTAGAGCCAGAATTGACTACTGGTGGATTTATGAATACTGTAAGTAGTGAAGAGAGAATAGGTGAATTTTGATCACACCATTCAATCCAGTTCAGATCCAACCAGATCTGGAGTGGAAATCTAATTTGACTAAATTGCTTCCAAATTTTGTCATCTGGACAGTCAAGACTGCTGCTGGTCCTCGACTTAGCCTGCATTTTCACACAGAAAATGAGTTTTGAGATGAGACTGTGAGATGGAGTTCCACTTCATCCAGCCTGGACTCTCTTTTTCCCCATCTTTACCACATTCCCCATTTTCCTGGACAGTATTTAAAGTCTTGCACCTTTGTGACCTCTGCTCCTTGTTGCCTCACTGTTCCACCAGTCTCCCTCTCATTTGCACACATGTACTCTGTCTTACTACGTCTGACTTTCATTCCTCGTCTTTCAAGTGCATACCTCCACCTCTCCAAATTCTCTTCTGCTTGTTCTAACCACAGATCACAATGTCATCTGCAAACATCATAGTCCACGGGGATTCCTGCCTGACCTCATCTGTTAGTCGGTCTATCACCAGAGCAAACAAGAAGGGGCTCAGAGCTGATCCTTGATGCACTCCCACCTCCACCTTGAAGCTATCTGTCACTTCTACAGCACATCTCACCAGTGTCCTGCTGTCCTCACACATGTCCTGCACCAGTCTAAAATACTTCTCAGCCACTCCAGATTTCCTCTTGCAATACCACACCTCCTCCCTCGGCACTCTGTCATATGCTTTTTCTAAATCCACAAAGACACAATGGAGTTCTTTCTGACCCTCTCAGTACTTCTGCATAAACATACTCAAAGCAAAGATGGCATCTGTGGTGCTCTTTTGGAACATGAAACAATACCGCTGCTAACAAATTGTCACCTTTCGTCAAAGTCTAGCTCCACAACTCTCCCCCAGATCTTCATTAGGTGACTCTTCAACTTTATTGCCCTGTAGTTGCTACAACTCTGTACATAACACTTGTTCTTAAAAATGGGCACCAGCACACTTCTCCTCTATTTCTCAGGCATTCTCTTACGCTCAATTATGTCATTGAATATTTGAGTCAAAACCATCACTGCTATCTCTCCACCAAACCTACCCATCACTTCCTCATCCCCTCTCTTTCCTTCATCAACATGTCCATTCAGGTCTGCTCCGATCACCACTCTCTCCTCCCTGGGAATACTCTCCATCACTTCATCCAGATCCTTCCAAAAATTGTCTTTCTCCTCTACATCACATCCAGCCTGTGGAGCATAATCACTGACAACATTCAGCATTAGACCTTCTACATCTACCTTCAGGCACATCACCCTATCTGACATGCTTTTCATCTCTCCTACATTACTTGACAATTTCTCCTTCAGGACCACCTCTACTCCATTTCTCTTTCTATCCACACCATGGTAAAACAGTTTAAACCGTTCTCCAATGCTACAAGCTTTGCTGCCCTTCCACTTGGTCTCTTGGACAAACAAAACATCTACCAGTACTTCTTGAGCATGTGATCAGTTGGTTTTGGTTGTCAGCAGCAAAACTGGTTGATCCACCCTGAGAAGGTGCTATTTAAGAGACTGAGCTGAAAACAGCACCTCAGACTGAGGAAGTCTCTTGGATGAGAGACGAAACGTTTCTAGATTTTTTTGCTTGGTTTTGTTTTTGGTTTTTTTTGAATGTCCAGAGGACCAGATTGAACTTTTTTGGATTTTTCTACCTGGATTATTGAGCATGCATCAGGATATCTACCAGTACCTTATTTCTCTGTATCATGTTAGCCAGCTCTCTACCTTTGCCTGTCATTGTCCCCACATTTAAGAGTTGCCACTGTCAGTCCTACATTCTTGACTTTCCTCTTCTCCCTCTGTCTCCTGACACGTTTTCCTCCATGTGGTTTTCGACTAACAATACCACAATTTCTACCGGCACCCTGTTTGTCAACAGCACCGGTGGTGGTTGTTGTTAACCCAGGCCTTGACCAATCTGGTTTGGTGTCACTTAGGTGAACTTGCATGTTCCATCCATCCATCCATCCATTATCTTTACCCATTTCTTTCTTTTCGGATTGCAGAGGCACTGGTGCCCTTGTCCAGCAGTCACTGTGTGAGAGGCGGGGGACACCCTAGACAGGTCTCCAGTCCATCACAGGGCCACATAGAGACAAATGAAACAAACCACCATTCACTCTCTCACTAACACCTAGGGACAATTTAGTTACCAATCAGTCTAACATGCATGTTTTTGGTCTGTGGGAGGAAACTGGAGCACCTGGAGAAAGCCCACACATGCACGGAGAGAACATGCAAACTCCACCCAGAAAGGCCCCGGACCTGGATTTGAACCAGGGTAACCTGCTCGCTGAGAGGCAGCAGCTCTACCAACTGCGCCACTCACATGTCAGTTTTGGAAAACATGTTTTACATTGGATGCTCTTCCTGAAAAAACCCTTACTATTTATCTAGGTTTGGGACCAGCACACTGACTTGTGCTCCCTAGTAATTGGTTTAATTAGATTATTGATTAAATATATGTACTAGTCTGTGCTACATAGTAGCAGTCAGGGTTAAAAGAGGACATGAAATCAAAGAGTAGAGAGTCGGGACACAGACAGGAAGGATTGAAGTGAGCAAAGACAAATAAAGACAGATGAATGAGGTGAACCAGGTTCAGTCCTGTTCTGCATTTTGCACGCTCAGTTTGACCTACTTTCATTTCTCTTCTTTCTTTCTACCTTTCCTGCTCTTTGCCTTTGGACCACTTTTGTGCATAACAGGAATTAATAAGTTTAGTGAACAACTTCCAACGAACACGACCACAGAACTCTATCATCCCATCTCACTCCATTCTTCAGAGCTGAGTGAGCTTTCCTTGCCTTGGCTAGCCAACCGTGCAGTCAGCCTTTCATCTGTGTTGTGAAAACTAACTAACCACTCGTTTTAAATGAAGGCTATATTAACTTTGACGCCACTACAAGGAATTTAATAATAGCCTTTCACTCGAGAGAAGCCATCACTGAGCTGAACAAATAGAAAGAGCAAACATCTTATTTCTGAAATCCTTTCAGCATGAGGTAGTTGTGTCCAGTGACTTGTGTATTGTTTTTTAACAAGCGTAAGCAGAAGGAAGGAAAGAAAGTGATTAGTGAAGCTGAGCACACTTTGTTCTCATAATGTGACTTCATGCTCGTGTTGCAATATGTGTGAATGACTGTGAGCATTCATCCTCACTACTTTTACCCAAAGAAAGGAAGCTGAATTTTACACATCTGTTGGACATCTGGGAGCCATTTCTGCTACTTTTTAACCCAAGATCTGAAAAGCTATGTATGGTATCTTTGTGGTAGGTTGTGTTAGAAGGTTTAAAATAAATGATTTTTATTATTTTTAAACTTGTAATTGTTTTAATGACCATGCTGTCATTGGCTGATTATTAAACTAAGGTTTATAAAACCACCATCAGTTAATCTGAGAATTTTAATATGCTTCAGAATGCACAAAGACTAAATACTTGGGAGTCATTCTAATCTTACCAGAAATAATGTATTGCAGTTTTTAATGAGAAGGTTTAACAAGATGACGCCTGAACTCATGCGGTAGGCATTAGCTGTAATGCAGCTTTTAGCGCTTACTGTTCAGCTTAAGTTCCTGTAACTCTTACCACTTCAAGTGCTTCACTTTTTGAACCACGTGCAGAAAGAACAAAAGAAAAAGAATGCAAAAATATGCCTCATACATCAAGAAGAAATCTCTTACTCATGTACTTAATCTGGTTTTGTTTATTGTTGCACCAGATGTGCACGAGAAAGTGATTCACCGCTCTGTCATTTCTTTAATCAACCGACTAACAGAGATCCGTGTCCCTCTCTGACCACAGACTACAGGACGGGACCATGTTTCACCCAGGTGAACAACCAGATGTGCCAGGGACAGCTCAGCGGCATCGTCTGCACCAAAACTCTGTGCTGCGCTACGATTGGTCGAGCGTGGGGACACCCCTGCGAACAGTGCCCCGCCCAACCGCACCCCTGCAGACGAGGCTTCATCCCCAACATCCGCACCGGCGCCTGCCAAGGTCAGACCACACTGTTTCACTTTACAATCACATGCCTGAGAAATCCTTTCTTACTTTGTTTTTTACATATGTCTTTAAAGAAATCATATAATGACACACAGAGCAGTGCTGAAACACACACACATCCACACACCCATCATGATAAACATTGTAACCATTACTTTATCCATCATCATTTCAGCTGAAATTCCTGCAGCACAACATCCACAAACTATAGTTAAATGCATTGATGGTGCACAACCAGTCAGAAACAAACATCCGCTTTCTTTATAGGACCTTATCTTGAAGAGAAAAACTGTCAACACTGCTGCAACTATGTCTCAAAGTTAATAGTTTATTAATACTCTTCGTAAACTAAACATAGTGCATAAAACACATCCTGTTGTCTAATAACATATAAAGAACTCACTGAAACGGAAACCTTTTCCTGTTGTTAAATGGGCTCTTTCCTTCTTTTACAGCTCAAATTTATTTTTACTAGACTGCTGGGAGTCATAGTTGAGCAATAAAAGGTTATGTAAAAAAAACCAGTGACATCACATTATTTCTGTTGTCCTGAGGTTTGGCTTGAAGGCCCTGAAGTGTAAACAGAAAAACCATAATGACAGAGCAGGAATGGCATGTACCAGACGTGGAGGGTCTTCTGAACAAAAGTAAATAAATAAGTGAATTCCTGATTTGTTTTGGAGCTTGAGTCAGTTAAGGACATCTCCGTCTCAGCTGAATTCCCATTTGTTTTAAAAGTTTTCTTCCAAGTGCCCCCCATGAAAGTGTCATTTTAAAAGTACGACTACATAGACATTTTTAATTTCCTGTCCTTTAGCAAATACAGTGTAGACACAACTTGATTAAAGAGCAGTGACTCACTGCAAGTCCTCCAGGTATTCGTGGTCAGATTACGCAATAAGCTTAAAACAATATATGACACATGTGGAGGTCATGCCCCTTGTTAAATTACCCCTGATGATTTATTGGCTTCGTCCAATTCGTTTTATAAAAACACCAAGCATTATCCACACCTTTTCCATATCAAGGCTAAGAAATTGGTTTAAACATTTTGTATCTTAGCATTAAAATAAGCTTTTTCCTGTAATGTAAAGTCACACATGCAGACAATGTACAAATCATTTGGAAATACAGAAGCTAAACAAGATGGATTATAGTGAAGCTCAATATTTCTTTTATAGATGGTCAAGCCTATTTTTGTGTATTTACTTTAATATGTATATATTTTATGTTTTAAACATTTTTTTTCTATTTTAACACAATAACCCAGAAGAGGCATGAGACTGTAGGATCAAACAACTGTAACTGGGGCTAAGAATCCAGGCAGGGAAAGAATAAAGTCCACTGAATACAGAAAGCCTTCCTAAATCCAAAATACATAACTTAAGCCAGGCTGAAGAGGAGGAGCAGAGGAGAAAGGCAGACAGACAGACAAAAGGAGGAGACCAGATGAGCTGAGTTAACAAGACACAGGTGAAAACAATGAAGACAATCCAGAGCAGACCAGCAGCTGAAGTGAAACAAGAAATAAGGATTTTCTCTAATAAAACAAGAACTAAGAACTGCAAACCTAATTAACAAGAAACATGATTTTAACTAAATCCTAATTAATCCCAATAAATAATAGTCAAAACCTACTATTTGTCAAGATTTCTTCAAGTCCAGTCAACCTGTGAAGAGAAATGTAACCATTTAAATTGGAATTCAACTAGAAGCTGGAAGATCCTTCATATTGATGTCCTGCATTTTTTTCATTCAAAATTAGAAACTGATCTGCATGCACCGTCTTGTGCAAAAACATTTAAACCACCTCAAATTTATTTTCTGCCAATGAGCCAAACTTTCTTACAACCATTTAAAGTTTTCAAGCTCTCTGAATGTTTTTCTATTTTTGTTGGTATTTTTTGTTATCATCCCCATATATAGTGTTCAGACTGCCCCTCCTGTACCTCCTAGTGGGTTTAAAAGTACGTTGCGTTGTGAGCACTGATAATAGGCTCACGTGGTTAGGTTCAGAGTAAAGGGTCTGGGTTAGGTTTAGGCAAAAGGGTAAGGGGGTTAAGTTTAGGGTCAGTGCTCTTGGTCAGGTGTAAGGTTAGGTTTAGGAAAAGGGTTATGGTACATAAAGTGGACAAAAAAAAAAAACACTTCCTGTTTTACCCGTGTGCAACGCTGCATATAGCCTTTTTTATTTTTGATCCAGTTCAACACAGCACATTGTGCAGTCTGTGCTGAAAAAAAAAGTTTTTAAAAGGCTAAGTAAAAAGCAAACAATTAGAATAAAAAAGGCCAGGCAATGGACATTAAATGTAGGAGAAAACAGGCAAAATCCAAAAACATAAAAACATTTGCAAGTGCTTCAGAAAGCTTGAAGAACATTTCACAACTTTAAAAGATTACAAGAATGTCTGAACATCTGGATGCTAAGTATAAAGAAATGAGGGATGACTCAAGACTTCTGCACAGTTCTGTGACTCCACCACTTTATTCATGGAAGCTGCCAGGTTGCTCATTTGTTAAAAGGTAGTGACTCAGCTCTATGAGACTCAAAACTCCTCTCAGAAGTTTTTTTTTAATCATTTGTGCTTCCTCCTCTCTTTGGATATCAGTTTTTGTGTTTGCTCAGTTTTCCAAGTTTCCACTCACATGCTTTCACACACATGCACACACTCAAGACACCTAATCGCCAGAGAGCCAAGAGCAACGTCTGTCTGGCAGCAGTACAAAGAACACATGACCATGAATCTAAATGTAAGGATTCCAATCTCCCCATCAAGATGTTGGCCAGAAGTCCCGTTTTATTCTTCAGTTTTATTTATTTTTTTTAAACTGAACTTCTTTGACTTTAGTCGGTACTTAAAGCAGTTACAATCAGCAGCAAATGTCTAATTTAAATTATTAGAAACATGCTGTTTTTATATCCACTGTGTTGTTTTTGAAAGCATAGCTGCAAGCTCAAAATGCTTGGATCCCGATCAGGGACTGACACTTTAATGAATATAAACCATGCTTGTGGGATCTACATTGTTTGACAAAAAATCCCCAATACTGGTAATAGTGACCCACTTAGAATTCTAGGAAAAACATACATTTAAAAAGTCATTTCCTGTTTCAACAAGAACTGAAGTCATTCTTTGAAAGTCCAGGACATCATGGCCATGTTACAGTACACTGAAATAAGGCTGGGAAATGAAAAAAAGTGTTTGCAAGGAAGAAAATGGGCCAAAAACAACCAGCTTACGTCAATCTAAACCATTGTTAACTCTTAAATACTTACCTGCTTTTGCCTCTTGTCACTTACAGTATTTTCACTTCTCCCCTGCTTTTTTTAGATGTGGATGAGTGCCAGGCAGTACCAGGTCTGTGTTCTGGGGGGAACTGTATCAACACTGTTGGATCCTACGAGTGTAGATGTCCTGCCGGACATCGTCAGAGTGAAACCAGCCACAAATGTGAAGGTGAGTCACGTCAGGACTGAACTCTGGTGGGACACAAGGTTAAATGTCAGAAATAAGAAATAAATTTATAACTAGAGAGTTCCTGGAGAAACTTTGACGGGGACTGCCACTTTGTGGACATTTGAGATTTTCTATTTGACAGTACTACTTGTTGAGGTTTGCTCTCAGCTACCACCATACCAAGTTTCAGCTTAATATAGCAAAATTAAAAAAAATATATATATAAAAAAAAAAAATTTTTTTTTTTTTTTTTTTTTTTTTTTTTTTTTT